AGCGATTTGAATCCGTCATCTTATTCAACATTGAAACTCTTCGGGATGTTTTAATGTATACTGCCAAGGTTTAAAATCAAATCTATTTCTTGAATATCATATCACATGACAACTTTATTAAGAAAAGTTTTACACAACGGCAATTTAAACTTACTTTAAATACATGATACCATTTAACGCTTTTAAGTGAGACAGCTTAGAGATGAGATTTTTGAATGTCGTATTCTCGGCTCGAAGCAAGACAACCAGCCCTCAAGGATATTACCCTTCGAGTTGAAATTTCTCTAACACACTCCTACTATTGGAAATGGTATCTATAGTCAAACCACAGTGGACAACTGACATCAGATCAGGGAAATCAACATGCTTCCTATACGTTTTTGCATACCGCATTAATTAAGAATAAGAATATAGTTGGCAAACCATCTTTTTGTCAATTTGTTCTTGTTTGATTTGAAAGCTGTCTACCACATTTGATTTTGCAATCGTTATGTCAGTGTCAAAATAAGGTTGGAGAAAAGAAGTCAATCATTGGGTAAGTATATGGCTGTTGGCATTTGACCTTTGGATATAGAATTTGGGTCACAACATCAGCATGCAATATAGATAGGACATTATGACCATCTTGATGAATTGCAGTAACATTGCAGTGACTACAATGCAATTTTAAATGGAAGAAATCAAATGGGTTATGAAATGTCAATTCACTAAAATACTACAAACATTATACATGATGCGCCATCTTAATCAGTCAAATAATAATTCTTGCTCTCTCCGAACATGATCATACTTTATAACTATGTGTGGTTTCACATACACATTGTGATTCTTGGAGACCGTTAACACACTGTGTAGTAGAATCTTGAAACACACACTGTGATATCTTATTAAACACGAACAAGCTTTGTAGTTATACGAGCTTACACAAACAGAGCGTAACTCAATAGCAGTAGGAATTCTTACAGGTGAGAAAAACCCCAGTCGATCCGAGGCCATTTTTCTTTTTTGAATTAATGAAACAGAGAAGTTGAAAATACTACAAAATATTTACATCATATATTTTTTATATAGCTATATGAAGAAATACAAATTGGAATCCCTAATAACACATAAACATACTTTGTAGTTTTACGTGATATCGACTATTGGCTCTGGCCCCTTCAAAACATTAACATGATTTGTAGCTATATGTTGTAACACATACACGCTGTGATCTCGTACAGAACTTTAACATACATTGCATTTAAATGTGATAAAACATAAACAAACTAAGATCTCGTACAGAACTTTAACAAACGTACATTTTGATTTAATGTGATAAAACATAAACAAACTAAGATCTCGTACAGAACTTTAACATACATTGCAGTTGTAATGTGATAACACAAAAGAAGCTGTTGCTCCTACGTTACGTATAGTTAATGACTGTGAGGGTTCACTATACACTCAGTGGCTGAAATAAAAACAAAACCTTGTATTAATAGGTGCCATCGAATGGTGCTCTGAAATCAATCAATGGTATATATATGGTTATACATTATCAGAGGTCCACGGTCCTCTCACGCTCAACGTCATAATATCTCAGTTCTGTTTTGTCCAATATGACAAAAACGTTTATTTATAACCGTCTATATTAATACCATGTGATAGCAATAATTGAAGGATAATTTCATGATCAAGTACCAAAACCCTTCGTTACGTTTTTGACGCTATTTTCAGTTAATTTGAATACTAGATAATAGAATACAACACTCGAACGCCGTGTGTTTAAATACATAATGACAATGTGGCCAGACGATAATTAACAGTTTTAACACTTTTGAAACTGAATTCAAGCACAAATATGTAACACAGGGCTAAAAGTATATGTGACATTAGAGAGTGCAGCTTGAGATAGTCTCTAAGTAAATAGATCATTAGACCTTGCAGACAACCGGTGCGAAATAATGTGTCAACGGCCTTTCATACAGAATTGTCCCAATAGCCAATCGGATAACCGTAGGTTCATCGTCTTATTTAAGATGATGAAAAAGAAACACAGCAATAATACACAACGAAAGCATCCTTACCTAAAAGTTAGATTAAGTAGAATAACAATGACATAGGACAATGAAGAGTCTATAATGATATTATGCATTTAAAAATATAAAAGAAGAAAACAAATTTGGGCGAAAACAAAAAAATGTGCGTATTTCAGATCAAATGCCAGAAAAATAGGGTAGGTCGATAGGCATATACATATTTTTTAATTAAATTTTTTCAATTTTCAAGGATCAATATTTTGCTTTGTATTTAATTTTACAATGCACTTCGACACATTACAGTAGATATTAGCTATCAAGAATAGGATCAAGCGGAGTAAAGTATCTTGCTCAAAGATGCAACACAGTGCCGTGCCGTGACTCAAACCCGCAACTCTTCGGTCACGAGCCCGGCGTCCTTCCACTAGACTACCGTGCCTCCTAAGCCTTATCCATATCTTAAGGATGGCTGCTAAGCTGTACGATAAGTGGGACTATTTTAATTTCCCAATCATGAACATTAGAGATATATCTTGTTCCAATCTGTCGATGCTGATTTGGAATTCAAGAGCATGTCCCGAAAATTTTGATTTCTATGATAGGTGACGACTGCTTACAGACAGTTTTCAAACAACGACATCAAAGATGCCGGTCGATAAAGACTATGGACACGTTTTATGGTATTCGTGGGGAATATGTTATATTTGTTTGTGTGAAATGAGGGTCGTTATTTTTGCTTTTACTCATTTATGTGTTTTGCTATTTAGTTGTCACCATTCCTAGCTCTCGCTATGCAGACATTAAAACTACTTTGATTTGATCTAGATTTACATTGTGGGCTGTGGCTAAGACACTTACCTCCCGGAACATCTGGTCTTATTATCCTTTTCTCCACAGCAATATCATTTTAATGTCGAATAATGAATGTGTTGACACTTTGGAATTCTTTTATTGCTTTCTTTTGTTTAGATACAGATGGAATCTTTTAAATTCATTGTTTTGTATACGTATACCTTCTGGTTTTTTTTTACGTTTTATGTTTGCACAACATTAACACTGTATATTTTCACAATGAAGAGTTTTAATGTATTTAAAAATGAATTAACTCACAACATACATCAGATCGAAACATCTTTCATTATTTTTGATGTATTTGTTTGAAAGTTATTGACAATAGGCATACCTGCACTCCGGAATATTTAGGGAGGGAACTCACAATATGCATGCTATGCTTGCGAACTGTTTTCCTTAGATTTTGACTTCTGATACATTTTATTACTCACACGACATTTACACTATTTTATATCCTGTTACTTGGTATCAATCATTTGTTTCTATTAGCTCTTTCAATCATTTTTTTTCTTTCTTTCCAAGGTGACTCCCGATATATCTGGCCACTCCGGTATCAGAATAAAGAACAGAGTGGGACGCCATGCTCTGGTAATGATGTCACATTGAGATCATACATGTAACCCTATAACGGTTTCATCACTTTTGGATACTATATAGTCACACGATCTTTTGGTACATCAACGTTTAACTGTAATAAAGCCTCGTATATAATGTTACACGTGTCCTTAATGTAGATCAATAAATAGACAAGTTTGAGCGTTTCAATAACCTCGAATTGAAATGTGTTTCCTCAATCAACTCCTCAAAAAAACCCAGACATATTCGTTTTTGAAGTAGAATTTCTTGGAACCGAACAATTTCTAGTTTGCAAACGACATTAATTCACAATAAATTAGAATAAAAAATATGCTGCATTAAAGGGGGGAATATTAGTTTTATGTGTTATACTTTTCATATTTTTGTCGCATTTTCATACCTACTAGTTATTATCGATTTTTTCATAATTCAGTTATAACTGTCGATATCGAATCTGACAGAATTATATGATTCAGTCGTTATATGTTTACGCTTAATATAAATACATACTGCATGACTACATGGATTCTCTTTCGTAGCGTATCACGTCATGTAGACAAAAACACTTTGCTTTGTATGTAGTGGATTATATCACGTCTCACGTGGTACAAAAAAGTTTTCCCTTTGTATAAAGTGGAATATTTACATATGCGCTGCAATGTCACTATGTAAACATATAACACTTCGTCTCGGGGTATCAGACTATGAATCGAAACGAGTAGTAGTAAAACAAAGGTGTCGAAAAAGTAAACAAACAATACGGAAGTAACGTTTGACTCTTGTTTGGAATTTTTAGTCGAAAAGTTTACTATTCCACCATGAAACCATAACAATCATATTTATTTCTGTTAAAATTATCCTGCAATGTCGAGGCCATTCATATTACCGATGAACCGCATCTCAAAGCGTAATTATATCACCTGAACACAAAACACTCCTATCGTGTTTTCGTAACGTCCATATTTGTGACATTAATAGAAAATGCAAAACAACACCAACAGGGTTTCAAAATGTTTTTTATTCGCTGTTTCATATGGAAATATCCATTACAAGCAGAGTGGTTTAAAACAGTTTTTTTTATGTCTTGTGATTTTACATTCCAACACTCTTGGACAACTCTGCAAAGATATCAACATCAGCTGAGGAAGATGAATACAATATATATAATGTCATTTTTAAATACAACGCAAAGAGACACCTTTCTGAATCTATTGAAGATTAGAAAGGTTGAAATATTTCCATGTTCTAATTCAATAATTTTCGATTTTTTTTGACAAAGTCACATCGAAATTCGTAATATATATGTACGAATATATATCAAGATTTGATGAACACGGCACTGTGTTGTGTCTTTGAGCAATATACTTTACTCCGCTTGTTCCAGTCTAACCAGTTGTAAAGGAGTACGTGGTTGTGCAGTGCTAGAACTTTTGAATGCTAGCGGTGAGCGCCGAAATGGCACCGGCTGTATGCTCCCCACGGAGTCGAGAAAGATATTGGCTGGTTGCAAGGCCCTATAACCACGGATAATAATTTGCGAACCGCTATGAGACGACCTACGAACCTTGTGATAAAGCGGTAAATAAGAACCTCGAATTATGATTTATTATTATCATAATGTTTCATTGCTATGACAGCAACTTTTACTCAAATGCATATTTCGCACATATATTGTCATAATTCTCATAACGGCGCACTTACAAAATGCAATTGAAGACTTTATATAAAAATATGAATAAGCAAAATCATAAACAAGCCTATTCTTCAAACTGTGAAAAGCGCTAAAATAAGAATACAGCTAAAAAATATATACACGTTGACAGTAGTTTCCATATATAGGTGAAATGTTCAAGTTTGCTACCATGGAAACAGACTTATTCTTCACCATGTTTTGTACATTTTAAGGACGGTTCAAGGCAGTGAGATTAAATATGTAGCGTTTTCCGTCTTTGTGATAGGTTTCTGCAACACCTGTAATGAAAAATGTATACTCCATGAAGCAAAGGTAATTCATTCATATTTTACAGATAAAGTAAATACAAGCGTTTCAATATTTTTTCAAACTGCTTGTCATTGCTTGTAAAGATTAACACGACGTGTTTAAGTCCTCTTATCAGTATTGTTAACGATAGTTTGACTTATTGAAATCTCGAGTTTAATACTCAGCTAATACATAAAGTGTCAGTAATTAAAACAGATTTAAACGTAACGTATACGATAGATATAATGTTAAAATAATCAAATGCAGATAGTTGCTAAATCTTAAGAAGAGTTCAACATACATATGAGTTATTGTTTACGACATCGATGTATTACAAGCGATACTGTATGTTTCTTAATAAGATGATTACCTTGTTCGAGGGGTATGTCTGGAGCCGTCAGAATCTTCCAGTAATTGCTGTTTTCATCTCTTGTTATACCATTAATTGTGATAACCATAGGTCCCAAACTGGTTGAAATGGTCCCGAAGCTAAAGGCATCAATGAAATAGAAGTTATGAATTGTGTTTTGAACTGTCGGCATCAACATAATAAGTTATCTCCCTTCGAACGTGAAACATATCATATACAAGTAGAGGAACTATTTAAATCATGTTATTTTGAATCTAAAAGCAGCATATTATATGTATAGGTATATGCATCTGAATATATATATTGAATAAAGTTCCGAAATTCATGAATTATCATTTGAAGAGTTTTGGCTAGATACAAGATTAAATATAGTACATACTTAAATTTGAAGATATCGAAATCTGTCTGCTAGATTTAGCCCTACACAAAGCGGTTATTCTCATAGTGGACTCTGTTGTCCTAATCAAACATTGAACAAATGACAAGTTTCGTTATTCATGATCTTAAAGTTGTACAGTAATTATTTTCGTAAACAAATTAGTTGAACACTGTTAGGGGCTAAAATCGTATAAACAGGAGGATATATAAAGATCTGGGGAAAGTCAATGCGGTTATATATCAGGACTAGTTTGTTGACATACCTGAATTCGGAGTCCGGCTGGGCCTGGAGAGCTTGCATAGACTGTAGAAGTGTCGGATTTGGTGGTACAGACACGACTACGTTATATTGTCGGGTGGTATTGGTCATGATAAGGTCTTCTACTGTGAAAAATATCTCAATTGTCTGACCTGAACACAAAGGAACTGTTTGGTGATAATCTTAAAGAAAAGACAACAGTGTATACAGAAACGTCTCAAAAATGATACCCTTAAATGTCGTCTACATTACATCATACAAGCTAAAAAGACAGAATTTAAGGAATTTTATTACCATCTTGGTCATGTATTGAGTAAAAATCTGAAGACTAAGGACCAGTTTTATGATCGTCATCATAGGCAAATCTGCTATTTCTGTGTGCAATATGAAAGTCAACGCTTTTGATAATGCTCATTTGCGTGCCTTTTGGTTTTGTTGCTCATATTTTGCCCTTGTTTAATCGATTTTGAGTTCGAATTATGGTTGCTGACCCCAAGGTATTCTCTTATTGTTTATTTTAAGGTTTACTATACTTAAACGTGACTTACCAAGAGGTGGAAGACAGGCGATGTCAAGAAGCGATCTCTTTGCAAAGGGAGGAAGGATTTGTGAAACGCCAAGTCCATTGTTCATTTTCTCTACAACATCTAAACAACGCAGTAATAAGTAAATTAATTTCGTTTTGTTTATAGTGTAGTTCTTAAATTGTACTACAGGTGTAGTGCATTAAGGTCATTCCAATATGGCTGCCACACCAAACTGTATATCAAATTCAATAATGCATTCCGTTAGCAATAAACAATCTCTGTCACAAACAAATCCTCCTCCAATATTTTTCAAGCATGATTGAGGACAATGCACACTAAATTTCAGAAAAAATATTCAATAACTAATGAAAAAACTCACTTTTTATATGTTCATTTTCCAAGCTTAATAAAAGTCACAATTCAGGAAAAAATCCATTTAAAGTTGTTATTATCATAAGGTTGGATGTCCATGGAGATGCATTGGTCGAGAAAAATGTAAGAAAATGAATATTGAATTTGATATACAGTTTGGTGTGGCAGCCATATCGGAATGACCTTCAGTTTGTGTTTGCATTCGACGAAATCGTTCACAGCAGTACGGACGTGTTTTTACCCGTCCGTAGGTTTCATCATGAACAATACTAAAGATGAGAGCCCATCGGAACCTACTCGTCAGGATTCTTTGGCGAATCATTCTACTGTCCCTTTTTTCCTCTAGGCTTGATATCACTCTGAGTTCTCATCGTTCCCTCATTCGGTCGGACATTGACAATAAGCTTCTAAGTCACGACAAACATTTAACAACGAACAAGTCTGATAAATTCAAATTCGAAGGGTACCACAAACAGTTTGTCTTCACATCTGAGAGGCGACTTGAAATTTATAAAGCTTTTCAAGTTATTGAAGACGATACTAGCGGTTTAGCAGAGACTACTCTTACTAACTGCGTTGCTCATTTAGACGTGAGAAACACGCTTGTTACATGATTATCATGGCTGGGGTACCTTGACCGAGAACGAAGACGACCCTATTTGTGAAGACGCTGACGATTCTGCTAAAATTCTCCAGACTGAGGCCACAGTTCACAGGAAACGGAAGGTCAAATCTGCTAGCCGTAACGCTAGTAAGCCGTATGAACGCCCATGCCTTAGGCGGGGCAGCGGAGTCAACTCGAACAACGTCGACCTTTTCAGAGGCATTTAATGTACTGGAGAGGTGGGAGAGTCTTCTTTTTACACCAAGATAGGAGCATTAAACGGAAGTAGGCACGAAGCGCCGGTGAGTTTCTATTCCTCCTGAGCAAGACCCGCCAACAAACAGAGTTTGACCTGTTTCTACTGTTACGGGACCGGGCACTAGGCCAGCAACTGCCCAGGAAGAGTAAGTACCGCCCCCACCCAAAGTCACCCCGCAATTAAATAATGAAGATCAGCCGGTAAGTCATCATTTCAATGACGTTGTAATGGTTGGAAATAAAAACGTAGTTGTTAAAGGTAAAGCTATGGTAATGTGTGTGGTGTCGTAGACTATGGTTATTTTGTTGCATAACCCGGGTCGGAAAAATAAAAATAAATAACAAGTCTGCCATTACGCATAGCACATTTGTCAGTAATGCGATTCATGAATTGCTAGCGAGCGGTGTGGTAGATGAGTGCGTTTCGCTTTCCTATGTGATTAATCTCTCTAAGATATGTGGGTCATGTTAGAGGGCACAAGAAAAGCATCGGATAATGTCAGGGACATTCCATAATCGATGTTGAAATGCTCCCAGATCAAGTGAAGTTTTTGGAATTTCCTTTGACTTTTGGAAAAAAGATGTTTTTTTTTTTGTTTTTAAATGTTAACCTTTTTATTGGTCTTCAGCGCCACAGATCGGAAGGTCACATGATGATGGTTTACCTTGAAGACGGGTTTGGAGACTCCGAGTCTTTTTCTGCAACGCAAAATGTATCCAATAGGGTTCGTTCCGACGTGTTTCATACCGAATTACGAGAAAAGCGTTTGAGTGCCGATACAGAAATTCGGTTGGTTAGGTTTTATATAAAAACAATCTTAGGTGGTGTAGTAGAGGTAAGCGTTGGTAAAAAGTCTGAATTTCAAAAGTTATTAAGTGATGTTGTTGGTGATGCGTGCGCAGTATCCGTGCGAACTGCAGTCGCTGTTTTCACAGGTAAGGTCATATCTGTGTCACGTAGCTCGAACTGTCAATCATTTCCTGAGATGTAGAGCGCACGGGACGTTTAAGAAGCGGCAGGCATGAGAAGGAATGTGTCGATAAGTTTATTTATTCAGAATATTTTCGTTTACACATACAATTAAAGACTTTATCCGAGCATTCCAAAACATGATTATACCTTTGGTTATGACTTTTTTGTAATTTTATGATCGTGTAATTGGTGGTTATAACCTTTATGTAATGTTTATGTCATTTTCTTTCTATTTTTAACAAAATTCTACTGTCATATTAGGGCAAGTCTGGTCCAAGGTGCTGATGTGGAGGATATAAAAGGTCATCCTTTGCTTCCCTAAGCAGCGTTTAATCTTTTATCTGTGTTAAATATCAGTTATGCTTCTGCTACAGTACTTCTCGAGAATTACTAAATTTAAAAGCTGGTGTGGCTTTGTAGGCATGAGTTGTCTGCCTTTTACAGAAATGATTTATGCACGGATGAGAAATGAAGGATACCATAATTTGTGGCATCGTTGTTGTCAGGAACAATCTTGTGGAAATTAAATGATAACACGAGTTCCACAGGTACGAAATTTTACTTCAAGACAGCAATCGTGGACTTTGATTTTTTGTGATACTCATTTTGTATCGCGGGACAAGTCTTGGTAGAGATAATAAACAAAATCTTCATGTTACTTTTAGCAAACCAAAGCAAATTTCGACAAATACGGGGGTCATGGGGTCAGACGCGTTTGAGTAATTTTACTGCAACCCTCTCCTGATTTCGCTGAATACATATTTATTGTGTAAGAGTATGTCACTAAATAAAATTAAATTGTCTTAGAAAAACATTCCTAGGGTTTGATAGGGAGCTATGCAGATAATAATTATCATAATAAATAATAAAATAATAGTTAAAATAATAAATTAAATTCCATCTGTCTATACTGATGCCTAAACTATGAAACACTAAGATCGCATTCTACAGCACCACATGAGATATATGCTTGGGTAACGTCATTTATACTGCTTCCTTTTCACACCGATTTTAGAATATTTTAAAAAGAGTTGACATAATAAATCCTATATTCGGTCAGCGTATCACTGACCGAATATGAGTTTATAGCCAAGTTTCCTGGGGTTATACCCCTTCCACTTAATCTGTGATTAAAGTTCAGCAACAATTTAGCAACGTTTCCTGCAGTGGTCACATAGGAGGGATTTGTGTGAACAAGCTAAATGTGAATTATTGGTAAGTGATATTTATCAAATCATGATTTAAAACAAACAAAACGCATTTAAGATTATTCTCATCGCACATTCTTTATCTAAGATGAACACCGTATTTTAATTTCGTAGGATGAAAACGATATCTGTAAGCACAATTATCATTGTCATTCAATACCCTACTTACTTCTCAATTTGCTTTTTATTTCAGTTACCGCTTTCTGTATTTGTGGCAAGTATGAAGTCTTTCCAGTAGCAATGAGAGCCTGCAGAATTTAAAGGAAAATCATATATTTACAATGACCTTCGGAATATGAAATATGATGTTAACATTTTGTGCTAACTTGTAATTAAGGTCTGGGAGAAATCTCATTACACAATTCTATATTCATTGTATGTCTATTAAAAGTTAACATTATTTTAATACAAACTCACGAATGAAGCATTTGTCAGTGAAACAATTGCTTTTAAGTACGTAAATAATAAACAATTGACATATAATTTTAATGGCGGTCAACTTAGAGTGGTAAAACGTAGAAGGATAATCTCGACAGCATGGTAAGCTTACCTCGTTCAAGTTGTCAACCTAAATATTAAACATGTGTTCTTAGCAACGATAAGCATCTCCTTGTCAATTGGCTCTTATAGAAAAAATCTGACATAAGTTTCCCTTCATTTTAGATTTATGATACAAGGTGTTATTTTTTCATTTTTGTGAGCCTCTGGCGAGTTGTGTATAGTTGTGATCTGAAACGAATATTTTGCACTTTGCTGTCTCTGAAAGGATGACAATGTGCGTCCGCTTAACAATGACGTGACGTCACATTGATTATTCCTATTCGATTGTGACGTCATTTCCGGAGTGATATTATACACGTTACATAATTTATGTGATCGCTTTATGACACTGCATAAAACTGTATTCATATAACATTTTTTTTTATTTCTACTTAACATTTACCTTTTAATAAAGGCATGTTGTTATCTCCACAACTGTAATTGTTTTTAGTATCGGAGGTCAGAATTGTATACAACAGTGAAGAAAACGTTTTATTTACAAAACACAAAATTAAAATTAACAAATCAAAACAATAGTTGATAAAATATTAGTCAGGTAAAGAAAAACATGTGCAATGGTTTGTTTTCTTTTTTCTTTTTAGATTAATTCCTAGAGGAGCCGTAATTCATCCCTATACCTACATAAATCAAATTTACCAATAGATTGTTTAAACACGTATATCCATTTGAATTTGTAGCACAGTCATGCTATAAATAAAAGTTTTACTGATATAAAATGAGATATCTAAGTCTAGAAACTAATTGCTTCATTTGAAAATCATATATCTTTCAGTATTAAGTAAACATAATATAATGTATGCCAACTCCATAAAGTAAGTTTAACCTGATGTATGCCAACTCCATAAAGTAAGCATAACCTGATGTATGCAAATTCCACAATGTAAACATATAACCTGATGTATGCAAACTCCATGGAGTAAACATGATCTGATGTATGCCACCTCCTTAAAATAAACATAACCTGGTGTATGCAAACTCCATAAAGTAAACATTAACTGATATTACCCAGCTCATTAAAAAACATTAGCTAATGTGATCCAGCTCCACATAGTAAACGTGATCTGAAAAACCACTGTGGAAAGTAAAGATTAAGCGATGTGATTCAGCTTTATAAAGTTAATGTTAAATGCGGTAAGCCAACTCAATGAAAATTCTCCATGAATTAAACATAATAGCACATCGACCAAAACGCTGTTAATCAATTGGTTAATTTTGATCGAACGGTAACCCCTAAAAATCCCTTTAGTGGACATCAAGAAATCGTTAAGGAGTCATGATCAGTACCAAAGTCAAAATGGTGGTTTCCTTCCGATTTGTACGCAACCAGGGCTTTACATGGTCTGACCTGCGTCACCAACTAAAGGAATTCACATTGAAGTTGCATCTCACCTGTGCTCCTAGGCCAAGAGAATAGACATTTAGACCTGTTTTAAGGTTTTCCGACACGAACTTCTCGGCGGCATTGGCAGCAGAGGAGCAACCCGTGGTGTTGAGGCACAAACATGCCATAGTTATCATCGATGCCTCATCTGGGGCCAAAACAAAACATTATTGTAATGATTCTTGTTAGTTTAATAATGTTTTAAATTTTCAATTACACTTGCAGCAAAACAGGTTTTTCTGTTTTAAAAATGTACGAATGCGTGTTTCTTTCCATAATACAACCCATTGACATTAACTTACAGAATATTAAACACATATACTGAATTATAGAGCACGTCAACGAATTGAACGATACTATTTTAAAGCATTAACATTTCAAATATCATTTATTATATATATCAAATTACAACTCACATACATTGTTTTACAAATAGTATCTTACGTATAACATATACCAGGTAACCGTTTATATATATTACATTATATTATACATATATTTCAATTTCCATAAAAAGACATCGCATTACGTCTTACATATTTTGTATTTCATATCACATACATTCCTTATATCTCATTATTATATTACACAAATAATTATATACTTAACTTTTGTCCATTGCACACAACTCTATATCTGTAATTAGTATTTCATTACATACTACAAATATCACATTATGTATTCTATACATGACAATGTCCTCCCCAAGTATCGTTTTCACTACATTCATCACTAACCTATTACAAATATCACGTTACCTATTAAATGCATAATATATTGCATTTTTTGGATTATTACATGTCGTTACTTCCTTTATATTTCTTCTCATTCTTATTTTTTTAATAACATTGTAGTTTACATATATCAGATTTCATATAACAAAATTAATAATTCCATACATTACATTATCTTTTTCTTATGTATTTTATTATTGATAGCATACATTACAATAGCTTTTACATGTCACATTACCTATTCCATAGTAATAAGTGCCCGGATTTGCTGTCAGGATGTCCTCAAACTTCTGGTCAAATGTCGCGTTTTGTTGACATAAAGCAATAGCCATCCATGACAGTTTAAATCTGTTTTTGCGGAATTGATCTTCAGAGAGGATAAGCTGCTTCTGCAGGATGCTGACCAGGTTGTAACCATAAAAGGAAGATGGTGTCTGTTCTTGACGTGCTGCCACGATACCGATGACATAATGAGCCAGTTTTCCACTTGCCCACTCGACACTGGTTAGGTCAGGATCTCTAGATTTGGACAGAGGTCAATGTTGGCATTTAACAACTCGAAATTTCTTTGTAAATATAATCAACGTGATCGCCTATGGCTACAAACTAGCTTGAATTAATATAGATCATTTTGATTGAAAGATATATCTCACATTCAATTAGTGGTTATGAGGGCTTTCCTTTTATTAGATATGAGTCTGATTGAATAACGCAAACAATTATAACCGGTTTGAAACCGTACTCTGGCCCACCAAGGTCAACGTCGTCATCGCTCCAACAACATTCACCAACGCTCGCGTGGTAATGTTCCCACTATCGCAGGTGTCCATACAGACAATAAGTTTGAGTCACTCCCGAAAGAGGGACAACTGTCATGAATGATCTGTAAAGTTTTATTTTGTTTTTCCAATTTGTCTAAACATACATAATTGAGTGATCACATTTATGTGTGTGTTTATTGATCATACTTGCATATGTTTATTAGTTTCTTAAATCTGTTCCTGTCGACAGTAACATGCATGCTATTTTTGTTGTGTTATTGTCCTTTTTCAGTAGCTTAATAAATGTGAACCTTTTTTTTTTTTTTTTTTTATATATATATATTTTTTTACACAAGTATAGTTGCCTTTACACCTGTACATTTTTCCTAAAACTTCCTGGCTGTACATATATGTTGTGTACTGTTCACATGTTAAAAATGACAATTATAAATATTCACCATATCATGTTATATGCTATAAACTCTTTTTTAGTGTAATGTTTTTTGCCCATTATATTGAATCAAAGGTACTGGGTATGTACAATATATAGATAATAAAAATAATTTGTATTGTCTATCTGCCTGCCAGCATGTATAACTAAATGTGAATTTGGTATGATAGATATTACTATATGTAAATTCAAAACATTGACTATTACATATATATAAGTTAAATGTATATTGTGTATTATTGTACGTTTACATAGTACTGCCTTTTATAACCCTTGTGTCTTTATTTGCATATCTATCTGTATATAATGGCTTCTCATACTATCATTGAAAATGTACATGTGTGCATTTTTCATGAAATTCTTCTACATTTTATTTGCGGATCGTCCCGCATCATGCTATACAATACGCAAGAATGTATCACTATTTTGACTTGTAGGGCTTACCTTTTAATGAAAGCATAAACATAAATTCTTTTTATAAAATCCACAAAAAATGCGTACACCTGATATTTTACTCTTATGATTTGGTACGTGATGGTTGCTTTCCACGTGCTTTATATATCATCACTACACTCGACCTTATTTATGAAAACTAGCTTCCTCATTCCACTCATACTTATATATGGCTATGGGAGCCGTGGCTCGGAGGCCCTATCTTTTCCTTTTTATTTTTATGAATATCGATATGCGTAGAGGAACATACTATAATGATGGGTGGATCCTTTGATATTACTAACTAATACTGCTATAATCAACATGTAGTTAGAGTGGACTAATTTGATTTATAATTCAACCCGACTAGTTCGATTAAATGTAGGCGAACCTATCTCTTATCAAGCACAGGGACTCGGTTATTTAATACATGTATTGAATTTTACCATGCCAATATTTCTCTCCTATTCCCCATAAAAAGACGCACAGATACTTAACTTATTGTCATATATATATGTTACCCATGAAGGATGAAATATTTACGATTTTTTGTCTCTTTTTTTGTTGTATAGATAGATATTTTAAATTAGTATAAATTATCCAAGGGCCTATGCTTGAAGCGTTTCAAGCACCCTGATGAGTCTTGTTAATTTTTCTTCTTGTCAAAATGTGTTTCTCTGATGTAAATTGTGTGTGCGTGTATGAAAGCTGTTTTATGTTTGTGTTACTGTAATATCTCATCCATGCTCAACTGGATTTCAGATATCACGACGGTGAAATTTCTTTATAGCCGGATTACTGACCGATCCTTTCCTGTTCATAGTTTCCACATCGACAATGGTTAACTTGGTTTGTATTCTTATCTTTGAAAAGGTTGGTCTCCGGCTATATTTATTATATTTAATCAAACTATATCTCGATATCTATCATGGCTTTCGTCATATCTATTTGTATTATTTTATTACGTTTCCTAGATTCGATAACTTATCTTTTATTCTTATATCGCATCTTATAATTATGATACGGAGTTGTGACATAGAAATAAATCCTGGTCCACTACAAAACATAAATCTAGTTCATCTAAATGTGAGTTCTCTTAGAAACAAAATATCCCTTATAGAAGCAGAGCTTGAAAATTTTGATATTGTTTGTATAACAGAATCCCATCTAAATCCTTTAATATCTAACACCGACATTCACATGCACTCTTGTACTTCCTCTCCTCACAGCTTCGTAAAATCGTAAAATTAAATTCACGATAACCCAATCATTTTTCAACAAATCTACCTGAAGTTTGGTATAAAGGTGTATCATAGTTATATGAATAACATATCTTATGATGTCGCTTACTTAACCGATTAATTTTAGAGATATAGCCTGAAGACGCTTTACGATCTGTAGAGTTCTAATCCCCCACGTATGCCACGCCGCCGATCGTAATAATAAATTAATCATAACTCGATAATTTTTTCAAATATCGAGCTGAAATTTGGTACAGAGGTGGATTATAATCATATTAACAACATATCTTCTGATGTCGCTTACTTTATCGATTAATTTTAGAGATATAGTCTGATTACGCTTTACAGTATGTAGAGTTCTAATCATGCATGAATGCTACGCCGCCGATCGTAATAATAAATTAATCATAACTCGATAATTTTTTCAAATATCGAGCTGAAATTTGGTACAGAGGTGTATTATAATCATATTAACAACATATCTTCTGATGTCGCTTACTTGATTCAGTATTTTAAAAGATTTTGTCCGGGGACGCTTGTTGTCACTTGAAGACGCTTGTTGTCGGTTGAAGACGCTTTTAAGGAGGACCCGATAGAACTACAGGTCCAAGCGGGGGATTATTGTTTATTATAAAAATACTATCATGATTAATAGACGAATTGAATTGCAAAGGGATGGTATTGAATTGATCTGGTTAAAAGTAATATTTGATAATCACAAACTTTTACTAGGATACATATACAGACCTGATAGTAATGTTGCTTACTGGAACAAACTAGATGATACTAGTACTTTGACCAGAGCTACTAATACGTCAATGGATGTGGTACTCACCGGTGACATTAATATCGATATGTAAACCCTTCTACCTAATCATCACTGTTCAAGACTCCTTACTAAGCATAATTTATCTAGCCTTATTAATGAACCTACACGTATAACTCAGGAGAGTGCCACTTCCATTGATGTTATCTTTACAAACAACCGAAACATAATTAGAAATACTTATACATCATCACCCTTCTCTAGTGATCATCCCTCTGTGCATGCATCCATTTTATTTAGCGTATTCAAACAATCAAGTTATAAGAAGAAGAAAAAAATAAATATGAAGAAGGTGATTTTGAAAGATGAATAACACTCTTCTTGATGTTGACTGGGTGAATCTATCTTCAAACCAGGACTCTAATACAGTTAACAGTACTATAACTGATTTAATCATGGATCAGGTAAATGACTTCATTCCTGTTAAAGTAATAAAAGTACGTCCTAATGATAAACCATGGATGAACAACAACATAAGATTAAAGATGAGACAACGCAATAGAATTCACAAAAAGGCCAAGTTAACAAATAGTCCTCACTTTTGGAACAGATTTCGGATTCTCAGGAATGAAACCATTGACCTGATCCGTGAAGCTAAGTCAACATTTATCAAAACCCTAGAAAACTCTTTTAATGACAATAGGATTCCCCCAGATAAATGGTGGAAAATTGCTAAATCTATCTCTAACTTCACCAATAAATCTTCTCCAATTCCTCCCCTTGTAATTAATAACCAAGCTGTTCACCATCCTATTGATAAAGCTGAGGTCCTCAATAATCACTTCATTAATATCTCCACATCCTCACCTGACCTCCAACTACCTCAGACAGCACAACCAGCAATTCCTTACTCACTATCTTATATTAATATTACTGAACAAGATGTTGCTGACCAAATTAATATTCTTAATATAAATAACCCCCCTGGACCTGATGGAATTGTTCCTAAAATTATTAAAAGATTGAATTCCTCTCTTAAATTACCCCTCATGATCTTATTTAATAAAACACTAGAAACAGGAGTGATTCCCAATAGCTGGAAACAAGCAAATATAAATGCAGTTTGTAAGGGTAATGGATCATCTAATGATGTTTTAAACTACAGACCTATTTCAGTAACTTCGTGCTTTAGTAAAATAATGGAAAAAAATTGTGTTTACATATCTTTATAACTACCTGTTGGAGAATTCTTTAATCACTAAGCACCAATCTGGATTTACACCTGGTGATTCAACAGTTAATCAACTCTTGTTTATATATAATGAAATTGTTAGTAATATGGACCAGGGTAAGGAACTTAGATTTGATTTCTGTGATATTAGCAAAGCATTTGATAGGGTTTGGCATACAGGTCTAATTCATAAACTTAGGACATATGGTATTGATGGAAATGTGTTTCTCTGGTATGAAAATTACTTAATAGACAGAATGCAAAGAGTTAGCACTGAAGGATATCACTCTCAGTTTAGGACTATAACTGCAGGGGTACCTCAGGGATCTATTCTGGGACCCCTCCTGTTTCTTCTTTATATTAATGATATTACTGACAATGTTTCTACTAATATTAAACTTTTTGCAGATGACACTTCTTTGAATGTAATCATAGACACAAATCCAGTTCAGGCAGCCCAGGATCTCTCGAATGACCTTGTAAACATTAGTGAGTGGGCATATATATGGGATATAAATTTCAACCCAAATAAAACAAAGTCAGTTGTATTTTCTAGAAAACATAACCACTTACAACCCCCAATATCCTTTCAAAACAACCAAATCACTGATTCAAAAACACATAAACACTTAGGACTAACTTTTACAGACGATGCATCATGGAAACAGCACATACAGATTATATATGAAAAAGCATACAACAGATTAAATATTCTTCGTTATATCAAATCTAAGGTAGGTCGTTAATCATTAATTAAAATATATATTGCATTTATTAGACCAATTTTGGAGTATGCAGACATTGTATGGGATAATTGCACCTTACAATCTATTGCATTACTTGAATCTGTACAACCAGAAGCAGCTAGGATTATAACTGGTCTTCGTTCAGGGACATCACACAATAAACTCTATAATGAACTTGGTTGGGAAACACTGTCTGCAAGAAGGTATAAACATAAACAAATAATGATGTATAAGATAATGCATGGACTCTCACCTCAATACTTGCAAAATGTCACAAATCTTTTTATTAACAATCATAATAACAGTCCCTACTCTCTTAGACAAACCAGACTCTTTAACCCACCTATGTGTAGAACTTATAACTATTTTGACAGTTTTTACCCTTTATGTGCCGCGATGTCAACACTATGGATACTGATATGTTGAACTCTCCATCTCTTGCTCTGTTTAAAAAATTACAAAATAAAGATAAAGTTAAGGACAGAGAAGTAACTTCAATTTTTAAAAACGACGGTGAAAGAATGGTAAATATTATTCTTTGCCAATTAAGAAATTCCTGTAGTAATTTAAATTCTGATTTATATCGTGACCATTTAATAGATAGTCCAACTTGTGTTTGTTCTTTTGAATATGAAACAGCCTCTCATTATTTCTTCAATTGTCCACTGTATATCGAACAACGAAATACTTTGTTTACTTCTTTGAATAATATCATAACCATATGGAATAAGATATAGTTTTTCAAGGTTGTCGTACATGTGATCTGAATATAAACAGACAGATGCTAAGTCATATTCAGATTTTTATTGGAAAACCTGGCGTTTTAATTTTTATATGACGTAGAAAGCCATGATGTATTATCTAGATAGAATTGTTAATGGAATAAAGTATAAACGTTTTGATGCATAATGATAAGTGAGATTACAGTTGAGTAGGTTTGTTATATCTTATTCATAATATTATATTGCCTTTCTGTCACATTATTTAGATTTGTACTTTTTACTCATAAACAGTATTAGTAGCAATGACCTGTGCACATAAATGCACATGGACTTTTGGTCAAAGTCTACTCTTACTGTACATATGATTTACTGACTGTGACTATTTAATAAGAAAATAATTGTATGTGTGTTGGATGTATGATTGTTAGCTGTTTGTGTATTGTTATTGTGATGTCCTATGATGAGTTTATTCCCTTTGTGTTTGTCATGTTGGAGTTATCTCCCCTTTAATTAGTATAACTCTTTATAATTTTTCATTTCAAAGTATCCTTAAATTGATTAATCATTATTGTTGTAACTACATTGTATATATGATCAAATTTTGAGCCACCCATGGAAAGAATTTATATAGGCTTGCCTGTTGTTCAATCCATTTGACTATAACATCTGTCAATAAAATTTGTTGAAATGAAATGAAATGAAATGAAATGAAATGAAACTGAAAATGTATTTGTTCTATCCAAATATACAAGCGTTAAATAAAAGTGATCTACTGTTTATTTTGTTAAATCTGTCCTTTCTGAATATCTTATATTTAACTGTTTTAATCTAGGAGAATGTCACAAGTATTGCTCAATACGTATTAATAACAATACTAACTCCTAGGTATTGCTTTTGACATCTTCAAAAGCCAAAGAGTTTAAGGTTTAAAGATCTGATAAATCGCTTGACTGATATATCCTCTGAAGATTACAGAAGATATACACATTACTTCAAATTCTGTCGATTTAACCGTTACACTGCTGCGTGATTCATTTTATCCTCACCTACGACATGAAACTAGCATTTTTGTACATGTTATTAGCATCTGCAAGGTGTCACGCAAAGAGCAGTCAATAATTTCAGACATATTTCTTGCTTGCAGAGAATAAACGTGTAATGAGAGCGGGACACATGTATTTCGAGGATGCGTCTTAAATATTATAAAACCTAATATGTTATAATAAATTACATTTGAACACTTCGGAAAATAATGTCGAGAAAATTTGAATCAATTATTGAATTTGTTTCGATTTTTTTCCAAAACATATTTATTGAAAGTAGATTACATGTAGTTTGAAAATCTATATCTATATTGAAACCATCATCTCAACAGTATTTTGATAAAATTAACGGAAACTGTCATGGAAATTACATTTCATAACGTCGAGCAAACTTTGCGAAATCTGAAATGGATTATTTAGTTATTAAATTAGGCGCTAAATTTTGGAACGCTAACTTCCCGTTCTCACGGATCACAAATACAACACAAAAACAAACAGACAAACAAACAAAACAGAAAGAAATACCTGTACTTCAATCGGTCCCTGTTTGAGAAATGACCTAATGCCTAACATTCTACAAATTCGATTACCATCTTTATAAAGAAAATCTGTAGAAACAGAATACCTTAAATGTCCTCAATGACTTATTTACTGCCATCTAAACAAAAAAGAAAGCTTTTCTAAAATAGAAATATCGTAAAGACATAACTTACTGTCCCAAAGCTGCGAGGACGTCAATATTCATGCTTAGGACTTTCGCCTGGTAGTGCACGTGGAACTTCCCTCTGTATACGTCTGGGTCTGCTAATGTCACGCCTATAACGGCCTCCCCAGTGTCTCGACGGCCGGGGCTCCATGGCGGTGTTGTCGTCAGCGACACTCTAATGGATTCTTCGACTGCATGGAATGAGTTCAGACTTAATTTATAAAAATAATAACAATATCTAACTCTAACGTGGCTGATATATCGAAATAGAGATGTTAAAAACATAATGTATAAAAAAAAAATTCATACCTCAGCTTCAACGTACAATCATGGTAACAGAGGTATGAAGTCACCTGCCCAATCCCGTGGGTTTTCTCTGGGTACCCCGGTCTCCTCCAACATTAAGACCCCCTGTGCGATAACATCCGGGCCAACAAGAGTGATTAATATAAGTTGATTTACCTTGTTTCATAATTGTTGTAAAATAAATAAAGGTTATAATATCAGAGGAAATATTTGGTGCGAAAAGGTACCGTCGAGAAACAAGTAGAAATACAAGGGAAAACATTGAACCCATGAACAAATTTTGGCGAGTAAGGTCACCGTCAGAGTAGGTAGCCTAGTACAATTTGTGTTACACGGTTAGATGTCTCTTTGCCACTCGTCCAAACCAGCAAAGTTTGGTTTAATGAATGTATGTGTCAATGCGATATACTATCAATTAACCACTAAAATAACGATACAGGTTCCAAAAAGATTCAACAAGAGGCACATGGGCCTTAACGGTCACCTGAGTTATGTAAAAGCTGATGTTATCGATGTTGCCAAATGAAAAAGAAATCATTTTGTAACAAAAGTAACTTGAACTACATGTAATGCAAAAGTAGTGTGAAAGATCTGGGTAGTATATGTACTATGTACAAATAGTGGTTCTGTCAGTCAGATGAATTTTGGTAAAGCACCTTAAGACCCTGGTTCCATCTATGAAGAGTATTTGATTCTACCATAACTGGGTCTTGAGAAGAAGATTTTTGAAATTTCAGTCAATTCAACCCTTTTTGGCCGCACCCATCAGCCCCTGGGGGTCAGTCAGGGCTGATATGTGCATACCATCAAACTGCTATCCAATACTGATAATGCTATCCAAGTTTGAATTAGTTCCAAATGCTGGTCCAAAATGTGATTTCCCTATATAAACTATAGTAAAGTCTACCCCCTCCCCAGGGGGAAACGTGAGACCCCAGACTTTGTCTCAGGTGACCTAATAAAACAGATTGATTACTACGTGCATAAATCAATTTTACCTATTTTCATATCGAGCTGAAAGCTGGATTGACGATTCCAGTTTTAAGGACTCCCACAACTAAATCAGCCAATCAGCAAGTGTTTCATACGATTGTAATCCCTATCTAAAATAGTTCCGGGATAATACAGTGCCTCTGAGTAATTTAAATAAGTAATTGTTGACATGTTTTACATTGAAGGAAATTTACAGATATTAAACTAGAAAAATGCATAGTTTTAGTAGATTTTAAATTGTGATGGCAGATTGATATTGGGTCAAATGTCAGGGGATGTTACCGCTCCACTTCACCGGTTTGGTGAATCCTTGACTCATGTACATATAATATTTTACTATTTAAGGTAAAATCAAAGTAAAAGCATTCCTAATCTAATGAGAATATTTCACGATTTCAAGTAAACGAGAAGCAGTAGGTTATTTACTGAGATTATTTCACGATTCTATGTCAAGTAAAAGTGAAGCCGTTGGTAATATACTGAGAATATTTCACGAATCTATGTCAAGTCAAAGTGAAGCCGTTGGTAATATACTGAGAATATTTCACGAATCTATGTCAAGTCAAAGTGAAGCCGTTGGTAATATACTGAGAATATTTCACGATTCTATGTCAAGTCAAAGTGAAGCCGTTGGTAATATACTGAGAATATTTCACGATTCTATGTCAAGTCAAAGTGAAGCCGTTGGTAATATACTGAGAATATTTCACGATTCTATGTCAAGTCAAAGTGAAGCCGTTGGTAATATACTGAGAATATTTCACGATTCTATGTCAAGTCAAAGTGAAGCCGTTGGTAATATACTGAGAATATTTCACGATTCTATGTCAAGTAAAAGTGAAGCCGTTGGTAATAAACTGAGAATATTTCACGATTCTATTTTAAGTAAAAGTGAAGCCGTTGGTAATATACTGAGAATATTTCACGATTCTGTGTCAAGTAAAAGTGAAGCCGTTGGTAATATATTGAGAATATTTCACGATTCTATGTCAAGTAAAAGTGAGGCCGTTGGTAATAAACTGAGAATATTTCACGATTCTATGTCAAGCAAAAGTGAGGCAATTGGTAATATACTGAGAATATTTCACGATTTAAGTTAACGAAAAGTATAACTATTGCTTACATTCTGAAATACCGACCAACAATTTAAACCGCATTCTTAACTTATTGAGGTTTTAATAAATTAAATATTATGTTAGCGTTTCGAATTAAAAATGCCGAAAATAAGAGTACACAAAAGTAAAATGTTGCCGAGAGTGGAACACTTATTATATATATGATACGCCAATTGCATTTTGCATAAACCATGGAATTAGTTCTGTTCTAAACGGAAAATAAGAAAGTTTCAGGCACTTGGAACAATCTATCTGCCTAACTAGTTAATGCTGCAAGTTATCTATAACAAAGGAAATCTAAATCATTTTCAGTAAATGTTATGGTACGGGATGAAAATCCATTGGCATTCTAAACATAGAAATGAAAATATTCTTCAAATAAATCTTTCAATGAAGAAATGACTCAAATGCATCGAAAGGGTCATACTACGTACAAACGAAGAACATTCTTTAAAAGCTGTCAGTTATTTTCACAAAACGACCCAGGTGATGAAGTTTTCTGTTTTGGGTATCCTCGCCTACTAAAACGCCCATAAAAACCTTACTCAACTAAAATGGCTCGATAAAAAAAAAAAATAAAAAAAAAATAAAAAATCAATAGATAGTGGTATCTACGTAATACACAAAATGAAAGCGAAAGCCAATTTTTGTTTCTTTGCAGAAAAAAAAATGTTTCAATGGCTGAAAACGAAACAGATATTTCTTTCTTTAAAAAGTGTTCATTTCTGGATACCAAACATTAGTTTTGTCTCATATGTATTACTGCGAGCTATCAAAAACCCTGATATGGTTTTGGTCACAACCTCTGAACAACGGCTTCTATCGATTTCCAGTGTTGCCTGCCAGGTAAAACAGGTTACATTGTTTACCAAGTAAATCAGTTACACGAAGCAAATCCTCCCAGCAATCTTACATTGTTTGCACTCTTATCTTGGTCTGTGTTCGCTAATGTAATGTCATAACTTTTTATGTAAATTGAGCGTCATATCACGCGCCCAAACCCAGACATGCTACATCCTGGTGTTAAGGCAAACATGAAGTTACATGTACCACATAAAAGACTGAATTTTAACAGTATTATTGAAAACTAAAGATATCTAAATATAATAGTGTGATTCTAACGATTACAAACAGGTTTATCTTTATGTTCAATTTGCCATTTTTATTTACTTCCAAGCAAACAAGAGTTTGCTTGCTACAATATTTGCATGTAACTTGAAGCAGAAAAGCGAGTGGGGCCATGGCCAAAAACAATTGCATGACTAATATTGCTTGTATTATGTTTAAACCGTTGAAAAATCGCATGGATTTTGCTATCTGGGACTTTTTCAGTAAATATCAGAAAGATATAAAGTCATCTCTGGGGATCCTGAAAGGGTGATTTCGCCAGTCCTAACACAAGCATTAAATGCAAAAAGAAACATGGCTTAAAACAAAATTCATGAATAAACCGATTTTGCAGTCATAAACAATATCATTCAAAATGTGAACCGTTATGGGTAAGCGCATGTCTGAAGATGATTGAAAACGGTTAGCTCCCGAAAGCAACTTTTTTTTACTGACAATGAGTTGGTTGGATCGGTATTGTTAAGTAGTTTGTGAGCGTAGCCAATAGTTGACAGATAGGTTGATACAGTTCTGGAAGAAAACTTTTTTTGAAACAAGTGTGAAATATAAAGAGCAAGGTGAGCAGTGATTACCTTCACACTAAATGGCTCAAAATGATGAAGAAATGGAAACTCCTGAAAAACCTTTAAAGCTTTATTATACACAGCTTAGGTAGATGGTGTTAGTGATGATATCAATGATTGTTCAATGACTGGAAGAAGCTTCTCGGAGCTAGATGAACTGGAATTACAGCTGGCAGAGGATCTTCCCAAGGGGTTAGGGCCTTGAATCTGTGAATCTGTAACAGAGAAAGGGAATCGGTTTCTGTATTTCTATGACCCGGTTTATACCTGGCTCTAACTGACAAATTAAGCTGCAAACATTTCAAACCCAAACACCGAACCATTTTCAGGAGGGTATCATCCTTGCTTGTTTGCTTATTAATAACAGAGACAATAGCTTCATTATCGGTAAAAAACAAAATAGCATGGTTGACCTAAACATATATACTGATAACAAAATGGGTGAAATTCTAAAATTGCAATACTGTTAAAGGTTTAAGTTTGAGGATGTCTGTCCCCTTTAAATTGTAAAAGGAAACCATGTGTGAAACCTTCTATCAAAAAAGTCCCTTGTTGTGTTGTCATAACCACCCCGATACATTTGTAGGTTTTTTAGCATTAACTGGTGTTATTGGACCATAGTTGGACTTGAAGCTATGACTATCAAAATGATTTGCTGGATGTATGGGGCTGCTTCGGGTATGACAATGATTTCGTCTGCGGTCGATCAATGCATTTAAAGGCTGGGTGTTTCCCGCCACGCATGGAAGAGGCGTGTGGGCATTTATGTCCACTGCAGTGGGTTCCCTTGTTGAACCGAAAACAGATCCGGTGTTGGGACGAAAACTACTGCTTGTTTGTTGTCCATTGAAGCTAGAATTCTTCCAGTTCGCAGGTAGGGGCCTATCACGGTTGGATGACATGGGCATACAAAATAGCTCTTGTCCAAGGGCCCCCATACCTAATCCATAGCCGTCTGTTTTAAGCGATGAAAACCTGAATCATAGCTATACCAATTTTTCCCCCGCCCGAGCTTTATTTCTTAAAACATGCTTGTAAGTTGCAAGACCTTCAGTTCACTCTGGATATATGTAAACAGATGAAAAAATATTGAAAGAATCTGTCCATCTCTCAATACCTAAATTATAATTAGCATTGGAAGCCTGTGTCAAACCAACACCACCCTCCTTTTTTGAGCTGTAACGTGTACTTAACATCTGAAGGCTCCTCTAAAATCTGGGAAAGTTTAATGAACTCCCCATTCCAAATTTTCTGTCTCAGTTTTTGGGGAAACCCGCTTTTGAAATAAAGTTCGACATGTCAGTTGTGGTGGTTTGACAGGCTGAAAATCATGAACATCAATAGTTATTTGATTTAAACATCTGGCACCTGTCTCATTTTCAGTCAGCTTGGGCTCCGGAATAGGTGCTGGGGAATCCATGAAAAAATCCTCCTGTAGTCACTCCTCAGATCCAGCAGCAAATTATATTGTTCAAAATGGCCTTGGGAGAGTGGGAGCTGTAAGGAAACAGAAGGTAGTTAAAGTTGTATGCAAATGTTTAATTAAGCTCTGCACAGACTTGCACTAGTGACAGTGTAGTCTCTTAAATCCATTTATTATTTGTGCAGACAAATGCATAAATCTTCTGAATATATGGTAGCTGATAAATGCTGTAACTGTATTAATTGGTGTGAAAGACTGCCTCTTTAATATGGACACTTTTTATCACAGGGCTTAAAACCTTAATCAGGTCCCCAGCTATATACTGTATATATCTATACAGACCCATGCTATCAGAGGTGAAATATCTACCAGACCTATATATGTATAAATAGGTACATTGTACTTTATGTGTGATCATAATTAACAAGAAAATGTAGCAAAGCTACTCGACATTTAATGTATAAATATATATATATTGACTTACTGACAGACCAACAGCCATGAGGGAACGGATCCTGCATACATGACTTTATTCTTCGAAAATGTTTGTTAATTAAGGGGTCCAGACGTACCTGACCAAAACTAAAATGCTGACTATTGCTTGTTTGCGTTATTTCTGTCTAAAACAATGTCAAGCCACGTGTAGTTTTTAAATTACATTATGTAATTCATTAGACGCGTGAAAGATAGGCATGCTTTCTTGATACATTGTTATTTATTCTCCGAAACTGTGAACTTTTAGCTCTGCTTATAGAACGGTCCAAGTGCGTTCACATGTACCTTCGATAAAATATCAACCGTCTTCTGCTACCACATACACTTTTTATGCATCTTATTTGAGGGTAAAACAATTAAATTTCTAATATTTCACGTCACCCTACGAAAAAAAAAGTTATATCAGAAAAGCGCGGGAACTCGTAGCGCAAATTTTGACGCAAGGTTCTAATGACGTCACACTTGGCAACAATAGATCTTTTGATCATTTTAAATGGGTTTCTCAATGCATTTTTGTCGTTTGCTGCTATGAACTTGTACAATTTCCAAACAAAAATGATATCAGTTAAGTGGTTATATTAATACCACAACGTTGTGCAAGGTGGAACAAAACAACCATTTATTCTGCCGTCGCTTCATCTAAACTTGAAACTGAAAATCTACGCAGCGAATAGAATGTACCATTCTGATTGTACAATACTAAGACTGCAATCTTCACATGTGAAGATATGATATTTCGTTTATCTTTACTGTATTGAAGATACGTTTTTATTAAATTAAGAATTCATTATAGTTTATTAGTAAAATGTAATAGATATGGATATCGTATGTGTTTACTATCATATATTTTCAAACCCCCCACCGGCGCGAAACACTTTGTCTACTTCCGGTGCTTCCCCATGCGCGAAAGCCTTCTTGGCAATTGAGGCCTCATACCGTCTACAAAAATATTATGGTAAACCTTACGGTATCGGTATTAAGTACAGTGTTCTAGGTAAATATCATGAATTCTCCATTTGATAAAAAAAACATGTTTACTGCAGTGAAGATAAACGAAATATTATATATTCGTAAGTAAAAATGTCACTCTTAGTATTGTCCAATCTTATATTCTCTGCGTAGATTTTTCAGTTTCAAGTTTAGTTGAAGTGACGGCAGAATATAAGTGGTTGTGATGTCAACCTTTGCAACATAAATGATTGTTTTTACAAAACTACACAATTAATATCATTTTTGTCTGGAAACCTTACCAGATAATACTTGCAAACGGCAAAATTGCAACTAAAACCCATTCAAAATGGCGCTCTGTATTGTTGTCAAGCGTGACGTCATTACAACTTGGCGTCAAAAACTACGTTCCACATACCGGCGCTTTTCTGATGTAGCAATATTTGCACCACATGACGTGAACAAATGTAAGAAATAGAAAATTTCATGGTTTTCCCGTTCATTACGATATATTTATTTCATTTGTATAAAACGAATATTATAACAACCAAAAACCCAACGTTGTGGCAAAATGTGTCTTCGTAGCAGTCTCGAGAAGTAACAACTGTTTTTCAAAGAGGCGGGGGGCTACGATTGGCGCTTTAACCTAGAAGACGGTTGATTTTTTATCCAAAATAGTCAAAAAGGTACATTGTCAAAAGAAGTATTTGCAAAAATCGCTTGAATTTTGGCACAAGGTATAAAAGATATTTTTATGTAAATCAACTTCATGTCCCATTTAACGTTAGGCCTAAACGTACAGTTGAAACTGTACTTTTGCGTGCTGTGGGACAATTATAAAGTGACAATAGTGCAAAATGTAAGGATAATGAGCGTGAACAGAATATTCTGAACGACAAAAGTATGCCATTAACAATTTATATAATTAGAAATAGATATATTCAAGTATGCAGGATCTGTTCCCTCGTGTTTGATGGACTGTCAGTAAGTTGTTTTCATAAAAAGGTTTGGTGTCTAGCAGCTTTGCTGCATTTTCTTGTTGTAGATAGTATGCGGCCTTAATTTCCAAGAAGGCTTTCACTCATGGGGAAGCACCGGAAGTGGACAAAGTGTTTACAAGGCTACATTCGCGTATCCCGGTAGTCTTGTTCAACGAGACTCTTTTTGTCTGCGTAAGCTACGCCGAGTTACACGTGATCAAGCGTCTGATTGAACGAGACTAGTATCCTGGTTGAAACGGTACAGGTGTCGCAGAAATATTCCACGATAAGCGAACGCACTTGGACCGTTCTATAAGTAGAGCTAAAAATTCACAGTTTCGGAGAATAAATAACAATAATGTATCAAGAAAGTATGCCCTTCTTTCACGCGTCTACTGAATTACATAACGTAATTTAAAAAAATACACGTGGCTTGACATTGTTTTAGAAAGAAATAACGCAAACTAGCAATAGTCAGCATTTCAGTTTTGGTCAGGTACGTCTGGACCCCTCAATCTACACGTGCTGATTATTCCTGAGGTCAGTCCCGGTTCAGATATATGCACAGGGGCACGCAACTACTATATATATAGAACTTGTTTCAGACTTTCAGTCGCTTGGTACGTTATATCTATTGGGAAATAACGTACCCAGCGACTAAAAGTCTAAAACAAGATTAATATTAATAGCAGTTGCGTGCCCCTCTGGTCTGTGCCTGTCGTTTTCTTTACATGTTCAACCGTTTCAACTGATTGCACCGGTTACGCGAAAGGGGCCCAGATCAAACCCTGGCGGCGTTCGCGCCGGATAGGAGTTTGAAAAAGTATCAAGTGTGAACAATAGCTTTTTCTCAAATGTGCCTGGAATATATAAAATGGGGCTAAAAATCTCAGCCAGGCTCCTCAAAAACCAGCTAGCGCTGGGCTGTACAGGTATATATACTGCATATTTAATTTACACTCACCTGTTGTCATAGGTGAAATATCTATACACATGCATATACCTATACATATTTATGTGTATAAATAGGTAAATGTTAACTCATGATTAAAAGTATAAAACCCATACGACTGGAAATGTGATCAGTATCAATGGATCAATAACGGTAGTTCAACTATTCAGTTGAAGGGAATACTGATGTTTCACTGAAGCATTTTAAAATAAAAACTGATTCAAGTTATAACCCAGGTGGCGAATTTGGTTTTATTTGAATATAAGGGTGACCATACATCTCTTCCACATGGTAACATCAAATGTAGCAGTACGGAGTTTGTTCGGACTTGCCCTTTTGTGTTAGATGACATTAAGAAAAAGTCAGAAAACGGCTCGTCCCCTTCAGAAATTTTCGATTTGCAGTGTACAAATAGCACATAGAAAGCGGTGAGTATGTAGGGGTTTTCAATGCTATTAATGTAAGAAAAATGAGGCATGTAGTAGAAAGGGTGAGAGAAACGAAAAACTATTCTTGGTTTACCAGAAATGTTTGAGGTTTTTAAGCAATTGTTAGATTTAGACGATAGTTCAGTGATCATGTGCTTAGGTTATGACACAACCTTCACTCTAGGAGATTGTTTATGTGACACCAGTTATCTTTCAACATATCCTTTTTGAATACAAACCGAACATTCCATTAGTATTTTTAGTACACGAAAGGAAATTTACGAGCGATTATTTGATTATCTCTGTTAAAAAGTTCCAGAACTTTTGAAAAGGAAGATACCAATTATAACAGATAAGGAAAATGTGTTACCTAATCGCATTAATCCGTACTGCTGGAATCATATCAAGAGAAACTTTACCTTCTGGTTACAAAGGAATCACGCAGATAGTTTTGAGGAAGCTGTTAATTTTCAAGATTTAACAAGAATTCTACAGTCAGACGAGGAACATTTCGACGAGACAGTCAAACGTCCGTCATACAAGCAAGTGGTCCTAATTAACATTAAACTATTTCATCAACCACTTTCAGAATGTCATCCAATTACACGCTGCAAAATGAAACATTCAACAGTTCAGTAGTCTGTAAAATTACAAATAATTCTTCAGAAAGTATCAACGCTGTTTTGAAAGCTCACGTGAAAGATAAAGAACTCCCAGTAGATGTTTTAACTTTAAGTTTACAGTTGCTACAGTAAAGATATGTTTACAACATACAGACCGGAATGACAGGAATAGGACCATACAGACTTATTGACAAATTTTCATATGCTAATATTCCAAAGGATGAAATAGTCATCCCCAAAAAACTTTTAAACCCCGACGAAATCTTAGACTTTATAAAAGGTAATGTAACAAACGAGTTTTTTTATGAAATCCTTGCAACCTTATTCCAACGAAAACACAAAAACATCTGGCGATCTCAAAACCGAAAACCAACAACAATCTACTGACAATATACAAGTAGCGTTACACCAGACTGTTTCGAAAATAAATGTCAATCATCAAACGAAAATCTGTCCCAAGTATGCTTAGCTTAATTAGTTATGGAAAATATTGGCGTCCCTTTTGTTTCCCTTCCGTGTTAGATACCGTAAAGAAAAGGTCAGAAAATGGCTCGTCCCCTTCAGAAATTTTCGATTGGCAGTGAACAAATAGCAACGAAGAAAGCGGTGAGTGTATAGGAGTTTTCAATGCTAGGAATGTAAGACAAA